TCTGGGATCTGCCCGGCACCGCGCGACTCGTTCGCCTCCGGGTGACCCCGAATGCGTCCAATAATTCCCCTTATTGGAAAGAGGGGGGGGAGTGGGCGGGCGTTCTCCCAAACCTCGCCGCTGCGGCCGAGACGGAATCCCCGGGTCTCGAGGAGGACTGGGGCGCGGGGGGCTGAGGGGCCGAGTGCAGACCAGCCGCCGCCTTGACCGCCATGGCCATGCCCTGCGACGCGATGAAAACTCCCTGCGTTGTTGTTGTACGCGGGCCCGTTGGAGTCACTGTGACAGCACCTAGCCGTTTGAACCCGCGTTGAATGACGTCCGAGCGCACATCTATATTGAAGCCCACATCCACGACCCAGGGAATGCTCGGATTTGCCCAACACGCGTGCACCCATGCAACGAGATCCAGTGGATGCAAGAATCGACAATGGCCCAAACGGACTGCGCAGAGATCCGGGCTGCGCCGCAGGCCCAGAAGCGAGAACACGATCGGGAACAGCTCGAGCTCGGACACATGTCCTCGCCCCCCAGCCAGTCCGCGCTGAGTTTGCCAGCGCGCGTTTACACGCGCTGACTGCAGGTGCAAAGTGGGGCCGGACCCCGCGGAATCCCCAGCCAGGAGGCCCCTCGAAGAATCGGGCCCAAGTCTTCCTGTCCCGCAAAAAACCAAGCGCCGCCGAACCAATCTCGACCTGCCAAGTGCGCGAGTTCCTGGAAGGTGTCTCAGGAGTTGGCGTCCGATGTACAAACGCCTCAACACTATTGTCCCTGATCGTCTGGCTCAACTTCCAGGAGGTCGGGTTCGTCTCGCTTCTCGCATCGCTCGTCATCTTGCCGGAGAAGCTCTTCTTCCAGAGCCGTGGCCTCCCATCGACTGCGTTCATCGCGCTGTGCTCTGAGACTGCTTGCGCGACGCTGGAGCAATGGCCCGCCCGCGCGGCCCAGTGCCCTGCGCCGTCGCATCTCCAAAGCCTTGGCGCGCCACGCCTCATCCTCCGACCAGCCTCGGGATGCGGTCTACCACTCGGCGCAGCGGTCCAATTTGATATGCTGCGTATAGTTGTAGACGTGTCTATCGCTCCACTCCAGCCAATCTCTACTGGCTGCACCTGAGTTGTGCGTCAGCGCGTCGGGGTGGCACCGCGCCGCAGCTTGGCCCTCGCGTGGTCGCCGCAGGCGGGCTTGGTCTCGCCGACCGCGGAGGCTGTTGCAAGGTTCCCCCGCGTCGCCCGGCGGGCCCCCTGGACCTGACTGGCTTCGCGTTTTGACGCGCGGCGGCAGAACCCCCCAGAGAGCGGCGCCCTCTGCCGAGGCACCGTGGTGACCGGCGCGCGTCGCCGCCAGGCATTCCGCGCGGCTGCGTTCTGGCCGCTTGAACTGCCAATGCAGCTTCGAGCCTGACACAGCGGCGCGCGCAACCGCAGTGGAGGGAAGCCCGTCTTCGCGAAGGTGACGCGGCCACTGAACTGCTCGAGGTCTGACCGCGCGAGCGCCCGGCAAGGGTGGGCCGTCTGCCGCGCCCGGGCGGTGAAGCACCGCGGCGCGCAGGCCCTTCGAGACGAGGCCGCCCGTCCAAGCGGCGCCCGCCTACGTTGGATATATATATATATGTGTAAATATATATATATATATATATATATATATATATATATATATATGTGTGTACGTATATGTATATATGTATGTATATGTACATATACTTATACATATATACATATATATATATATATATATATATATATATAGAGGCCGCTGCTCGGCTCGGAGAAGCACCGCTGGCGCGCCCGGCAAGGGGCCCCCTAGAAGCCGACCCCAGTAAAGGAAGTTCCTCAACGCGGTCGTTTTTCTCGGCCCACCAACCAATGCCCACCCACGTCGGAAATGCTGGAAATTCGCCGGCCCAACGGGCCAGAGGCGTGCTAAGATCTCCGGTAACTGGTTAACAATTGTATTGTACTAGTTCGCGCGCGCGGGGCGGCCCCTGGGGGTCCCCCGGCGAAAAGTACCCCGCCCGCCGCCTGACCAGGTCCCGCCCGGTTCAACTCAGAGATGGTTTTCCTTCTGGGTGCGGCCTCTCAGGCCGCCCTGAGCGCGCCAAGAGTGCCCCAAGAGGCCCCCAAGACTGCCCAAGAGGCCCCCGAGACGCCCAAAGAGCGCTCGAAGACGCCGAAGATGACCCCAAGACGGCCCAAAAGGCCCCCAAGCCAGCCCAAGAGGCCTCCAAGACGCCCCAAGAGCCTTCCAAGAGGCCTCCGAAGAGAGCCCCAAGAGGCCAAAATCGTTGATTTTCATTGGTTTTTTCTATGTTTTTTGTGTTCTGGCTTTTTCGGCTTCCGGACGCTCCAAGACGGCCCAAGAGGCCCCCAAGACCGCTCCAAGACGGCCCACGAGGCTCCCAAGACGGCCCCGGAACGGCCCAGGAGGGCCCCCAAGACGGCCCAAGTGCCGCCCAAGACGGACCAAGAGGCCCCAAGACGGGCCCAAGAGGGGCTCAAGAGGGGAACCGAGAACTGAAAAATCGAGCCCTCCGCCCCAGAAGGCGCCCAGGAGGCCCCAAAAAGGCCCCAAGAGGCCCCCAAGAGGCCCCCGAGACGCCCCAAGAGGCGCCCAAGAGGCCCAAAAGAGGCCCCAAGAGGCCCCAAAACGGCCCCCAAAACTCGGCTAGCCCACAACAGTGCGACAATATGGGCCGGCGGAATGAGCGAAGCGATTAAATAAGCCACCCGCCCATCCATGACCCACCCCAGCTGGAAATATCGAAAATTGCGATGCCGTCGCTAGATCCACTCGCGCGGCCCTGGAAGACGCCGCTCTCGACTGTCCAGCACCCCTGGCCAAAGTGGCCACGAGTAAATGCTGTCGGATATGTCTTGCATGCCAGCTAACGCGCGCGCGTGGATGGTGCTTCTGACGATGGTTATAGAGACTGCCCCCCTCCTTCTCGCAGCCCGCCTTCTGCTCAAGCTGGGACTTGGCCGCGGCCGCCGTGGATAGCGCTTCGCCATTGCCACCTGTCTTGCCCGCTGGCTTCTCGGATTCGCCCTCGCGCTCGCCCCCCAGTCGAGGAGATGCCTGCTTGCGGCCGGGTGTGGCAGGCGGCCAGATTTGAGCCTCACCTACCGCGGCCTCGGTGCCGGACTTGTGCAACGCTTCCTTCCGCCCGGCTGCCCCCGCTCGATCCCATGGGCTGGCCGCGTCCTCGAGCTGATCCATGTCGATAAGCCCGCCGTCGTCCAAGTCCAGCTCGAAGCCGCCGGGACGCTACGTCAAGTCAGGCTTGGTCTGGCTAGCCTGCGACTTCGCATCTTTCACGATGGCGATGGCACGCAAGCGCAGCACTGCCGACTGGCATGTTGAACGGGCGAGCTCCAAACTCTTGACGTCCTGATCGGCTTCCAATTGGGCCACGCCGACTTGCTGTTCGAGCCGTTCACACATACCGATGCTTGTCTTGAGCCTGGCCTCTGCGCGGTCTCAGAGCACCTTTGCCATTCCCACCGAAACCCCAATGCATGCTTTGGACGGTCGGACGTCGCCAAGCTGGGCGTGGTAGGTGGCCGCCGCGGAGTCATCCCTCGCGCCCTTGAGGTCCACAAGCTGGGCGAGCTTGGGCTCTTTGGCCCTTGAGGTTCACAAGCTGTCGCCGATCACCTCGGGGCGAGGTTGGACTGAGACCCAGTTGCCCGAACGCAACGCGGAAGAGCCTCGTCCAGGTACTTCGGGAAACCGCTCCACCTCCCACTGGCTGTGTTGTTTCCACCACGGGGGACAAACGGGAGAACGAACACAACGAAGAGGACGAGGCGGGCATGGAGCCGGCCGGCGAAATAATGGGACTGCGACAGTGCTTGCACCACCCCCACCACACGCGGACTCTTGCGCAGCCGCACTTGTCAACATTGGCGAGCTGCACACCTCCACCTTTAGCCATGTCCGAGGAGGGAAGCTGCAACGTGCCCCATCGACTGTTCGAGGCGTCGTCGAAGAGATCGGGAAACAGTGCGCGAGAGGCGCCCTCCTTGGGCCAAACACCCCGTTGTGAGCCAAAATGGCCGGAGCCAAAATAGCTACGGCCCCTTGTCTTCTTCCTCCTCGTCCTCCTCCTCCTCCTCCTCCTCCTCCACCTCCTGTGTAATCATCCTCCCTTCTTCTCCTCCTCCTCGCCCTTTCTCCTCCTCCTCCTCCTCCTCCTTCTCCTCCTCTTCCTTTTCCTCCCCCTCCTGTTCTGCTGCCCTCCTCGTCCCCCTCCTTCTCCCCCTTCTCCTGCTCCTCTTCCTCCTCATCCTTCTCATCTTCCCTAATCGTTCCTCTCCCCCCCCTCCCCCTTCCTCATCGTCCTTCTCATCATCCTTCTTTCTGGGGGGCGGGGGGCAAAAATAGTATCAATGACCTTCCGCGGTGGGGGGGATCCCATCAGCGCTCCACGGTTGAAGAAACACCTGGCCCTCGGACAAAAACTGAGGAGGCGCAGACGCGGGGTCCCCAAGGCGACGTGTCATTGATACTCGTTTCGCCTCCCGATTTCTTCCTTCTTTCCCCCTTCTCTTCGCTCCTCATCCTCGGGAGTCTGCGGCCAAACGACAAGCCTGCCCCTGGAGTGCTAACGGAGCAAGGTTTCGGACGTCCACAACGGTGGATTCAGATTGCAACATACGCGTGCAATCTCAAATGTCCTGACCCCACCGTAGTCGCCTGCAGACTATCAACCATCCCGCCAACAAATCGTTCGCACGGCTGCCATTGGGGGGGACGGTTCCCTGAAGATCGGGGTCACGGCCCTCGTGTTCGGGGGCCCTGTGGGCTGGGAGGGACCCAAACATGCAGACCTGGGCGAAACGCCTCCGGGAGCCCCCTCCCCCACGCCCCCCCCCGTCTCCACGGCGGCGTGCGCGCTCGTCCACAGACGCCGCCCCGTCCAGGCCGCCCGCTGGTGTGCGGCACCAGCAGCTTCGTCTTGATCCCCGGCAGGCGCCCGGGGATGGGCGCCTGCTTGCAGATCACGGGCAGGCGGCCGGGGTGCTTCTCCCGGAGCCTGGCGGCGACCGGAGGAAAGGGCGGGGCGCGATCCACCGTCGCCCGCCCGAACGAGTACTAAACGGGGGGGTCAGAAGCGAACAGGGTCCCGCCTCCTCCTCCTCCTCCTCCTCCTCCTCCTCCTCCTCCTCCTCCTCTTCCTCCTCGTTCTCCTCCAGAATTCAATCCTGAGACGGGGGGGCAGAGGCCACGGGGCCACTCCTTCCCCGAACCACGATCCATACACAGAAATCTGAAGGAGGGGGGGTCTGGACCACCTTCCCAGGAAACATAATTCCCCACCCCCTCAAAACCCCCCCAATACAGGCATTCGAGGTTCCCCCTTGGCAACGACGACGACGACGACAAGGACAACGACGACGACGACGACGACGACGACGACGACGGCGCCGCCGCCGCCACCGCCGCCGCCGACGTCGACAGCGTCAGCGTCAGCGGCGGCGCACGTGTCGCCGGCGCCGCCGCCTGATGCAGGCATTATGCGAGGGCTCGCTCCACCTCTTTTAAAATCCTATTAGGGGTTCGATCCAGCTCTGAAGGGATCCTGCTACTACAGCTGGATCCAGCTCTCATCGAATCCTCCGAGTGCTCGGTCAATCAAGCTGGAAAAGAAACCCACACTGGCTGGAACCAGCTCAACTGAATCCCACCATGGCTGGATCCAGCTCTGCTGGATCCAGCTCTGCTAGATCTCAATCCAGATTTGACCCAAGGCTGGGTCCAGCAATAATAGAATCCTCTCAAACTTCGGTCCAGCTCCAATAGAAACATACGATGCTTTGGCTCCAACTCCGAAAAATCTCACTCAAGGCCGGCCCAGCTCGAATCGGGTCCCACTAATGTTGGATCTCGCTCAACCAGAATCTGTATAAAGCTGGATCCAGCTCTCATCTAGTCTCACTCAGGCTCGGTCCAGATCTAGCCAAATCCTGCGAGGAACCCATCCAATTGTCATCCCATCCTTCAATAAATCGATCACGTTCGCTACTCTTCCTTATGGGTCGACACGGCTCTAGAAACACCCACTTAAGGCTCGGTCTATTCCTCACAAGATCCCACATGGGCTGGATCCAGCTCTAACAGAAACTCTCGAAAGCCCGATCCAGCTATAATGGAATCCGGCGGAGTTTCGATCCAACTTTAACCGAACCCCACTAAGGCTCGATCGTCTCTGCCAGCGCCGCCGTAGGCGTCGTCGCCGTCGTCGTCGTTAGCGACATCGTCGTCGTCGACGTCGTCGTGGTCGACGTCGACGTCGTCATCGTACGCGTCGGCGTCTTCGTCGTCCTGGGCGTTGCCCTCGTCGTTGTCGTCGTGCGTCGTCCGTCCGTCCGTCCGTCCGTCGTCCGTCCGTCCGTCCGTGCGTCCGTCCGTCCGTCCATCCGTCCATCCGTCCGTCCGTCCGTCCGTCCGTCCGTCCTTCCGTCGTCGTCGTCGTCGTCGTCGTCGTCGTCGTCCGCATCGTTTGCTGTCGACGTTTTTGTCTTCGTCGTCGTTGCGCGGGTGGGGGGAGTCCAAACCCCTCAAGCAATTTCCCTGGGGAAGGGGAGGGGGTGTCTGGAGCCCTGCGAAAAATATCCGGGGAGGGGGGCGGGGGGTCCCCCCCACCTCCGTTTGAGAATGATTGGGGGTTGAATCCCCCCCCTGCCAGCAGCGGCACAAGAACGCTCCTTCGGAGGAAGACACGGAGAGAAAACAGGGGAGTTGGATGCAAAGGGGCAGGACGGGGACGACAGACGGGGGTACGAGGACTGGGGCCGGAGACGGGATGATCGGCCCTCGCCTCGCTACTAGGAGGGGAGAGGGGGAGGTGGAGAAAAAGAGGGATGTGGGAGAGGCGAGGGGGGATGAGGAGAAGGAGGAGGAGGAGGAGGAAGAGGAGGACAAGCAGGAGCAGGAGGGAGGGTAGTGGAGGATGGCGGGGGAAGGGAAAGGGAGTGACCAGAAGTGACCATGAAGGGACGAGCGTCCGCAAAACTAAACGGGTTAGGCGGGGACTAATCCGACGATGAGTCCCCGCCTTCACGGTGAGGGATCCTGGTGGGTCGGCGGGCCGCTCCACCCACACCTCCCTCACAGAAGGGGGGCTGCTGCATTCCACTCTCCTCCCGAGCCTCCCTCGCACGCTGGACCGCGTCCGAAGCTTCACGCTGCACTCTGGCCAGCTGCACAGCCTTCGGGGGTCCCCTGTGCGAGGGAAAAATGCCTCGACGAATCCTGTCGAGGTTCTGGGCTCCTTTGGGGGAGGGCTCCTGGCAGGGTCGTGCGAGCCACCTGCCATCGACTGTGGCGGTAAGCCCACAGCAAACACAAAAATGCAAGGAAAACTCAGGCCAGTAGAAGATTTTGTGGGACGAGTGGGCCGAGGTGGCCCCAATCAAAATCTCACCAGTCCTCAAGACAAATTGGCTCCACTCCGACTTCTGGCCTCGGACCTCAGGGGCCAGACCTGGACAAGACTGGCCACAAAACTTGAGTAGCTGGGTGGAGGCTACAATCTGACTGCAAACCCTACAGCGCCACCTGCTCCCGACCTGCTCACAATCATGAGAGGTGTCCCTCAGGGCAGCAGCCTTCCTGGAGGGGGGGGGCACCCGCACTTTGGCGAGCCTAGTGGCCTGCCAAGGGTCTACCTGGAGTGAGCACAGCAACGCACGTCGGGCCCTGCGTCTGACAAGGTGGGCGATGCAATCATAGATGTCGGTACTGGGGGCAGGCTGGCGAGTATACAGGAGCAAGGCCTCGTCCGCCGCTTTACCCGCAAGGTCATCAGCGCACATGTTGCCAGCAGTGAGGAAAACTTGCCTAGCACTGAGAGCCTTGCCTGTGTCCTCAAGATGGGCAGCCGTCCACACGACCTGTACTTCAGCCACCCCCCGATGACGCAACGCCACCGCCACCCTGAACCACAAGTCCTGATTCGGGCCTAGCTTGCCGTGGGCTCGACCAGCTCTCCAACCATCCAGGACAGGCTGGCAATCAGTGACATAAATGATGGGTCCCGTGGTTTCTTCCAGAGCGATGGCGAGCGCAGCTATCTCCGCGCGCGACACAGTCTGCCGCGGCCCCAGGAGGGGGGAAGAGACTCCCGCGACTGGCTCCCAGGAGCCATCCTCAGCCCGACGTATGAGGGCGACTCCAGAGCCACAGCGCCTGCGTCTCGGGTCACTGCTGTATTTCCCCCCTGACCCATCTCCAAAAATGTGGGGAGGGTCCTGGCCAGGGGCTACACAAAACTCACTGAGGCGAGAGGAGCCGTAGTACGTAAGAGGAGGGGCCTCAAGAGGGTCAAGGAAGACGGGGCAGGTGAGGTCTCTCGACGGGACTCCTCTCAGCCATAAAGAAGGGTCTGCTTCCCATTGCGCCGTGGCTTGGGAAACCAGTGATTGCGTGCTGCTAAAATCTTGGTGATCTACATTACACACGCATTGCCATATTCTGTGAAACAAGGTCGCAGGGGCCGCCTTGCACCTTGGACAAGTTACGTCAACCGTGTAGCCACTGTCGGCTTGGCGCTGACGTGGCCATTGGCCTCCCGAGGCCACGCACAAGGTGAGGCCCCACAGATCCGACTGACCCCGAGACTCGAAGCGGCGGAGTTCCTGCTGCAGTGGGAGGAGATCGGCTCCTTCTTTCAAACTGTCGCCAGCCTCGTGCCCTGCAGCACCTTGCCACAACTTAGCCTTCATATCAGAAACGAACTCATGCAACAAGTCTGCATGGTCAGAAATCGGGAGTAAATCATAGTCTGGGTCGCCCATTCGTGGGAACATCCACGCATGCTCCGCATGATCGGGTCGTTCCTGCAGGTCTGGTTCTCTGGGCTCCCATCCTGCTTCAAGAAGGGTGGCCTGGACTGCAGCTATGGGCCCCCGAATGCCTCTCCACCTTTTGGCGCCAAGCGAATCGAGCTGCGACCGAACGATACCCCACGACCGTCGAATACGAGGCTGGAGGGCGGGGAAGCGCTTCCACAGCTGCAGCCAGGCGTCCACCAATTGGCGGCGCAGTTCCAGGGCGGGATCTCCATCCCCCAGCACAGTCTGCAGAACAGTTGTTAAACATTTGCCCTTGCCCATTCCCGAGACCGTGCGAGCAGCTTGTCGCCTAAGAAGCAGGACCTGACTCGGTGGCATACCATAAACCTGATGGCCAAAGCTGGCCTGGGGTAAGGCTCCCGTGCGCCAAGCGCCCTGGGTGACTTTCCTCAAACCAGCCAGCCTGCGCATCTTCACAATCCTAGAAAAACGCCCGCTGGCTTTAGCCATTCTCTGGCGCGCCTTCTTCCGTGTCCGAAAGCGACCTGCCGCAGTGTCTACACCTAAATCAACTCCAACAGAAGCAAACCTAGCGGGCATCCCTCGGGCTCTGAAAATTCTGGCAATGTGCTTCCCTAGCTCAGGAGAGGACGCCAAGACAACCGTTTTGTCCGAGACAGTGAGCCTCTTGAGTCTGAATCCCTCCGAGAAAGCTTCAGCTAAACCTTCCATCTCAGAAACGACAGTGGCCTGGGTGCCCTCGGATCTTGCCACAGTGTCATCGACGAAGGTCCATAACGAGGCCTGAGGGGCTCTAAAGTGCGCAGCCTCCAGCACAGAATGCAAGAACACTTTTCCAAGGCAGACTCCATGCGACGATCCAGCCACAATCGAGCGGCCTGGGCAGAACGGCTCGCTGATGACCGAGCCCTCCTTGAGGATGCGCGGCGCCATGAAGAGCAGGATCTCCATGAGCAGCACCGTGGGAGGGAAGTTGAGCCCCCGCGCCGCAACCACCAGGAGGGTGAAGGAGATGGAGTCGTAAAATTTGGCAATGTCCAGCAGAACCGTCGCCGTTGCCTTGCCTGTGGTAGCAGAGGCCTCATCCATGAGGCTTCTCGTCATCGCAGCTCTCAGGGCGCTGCTGCCTCTGATGGCCGTGTCCCAGAAAGCAGAGAGTCCATCTGACCAACTCGAGGTGACCGAACTGCGCGCCTGGCTCCACGTCTTGCAGCATTGC